GCCCCCGATGAATTTTAGGAATATTCAGTTTCAGGCTATTGGTTTTTTTCTTACTGTTTTTTTCTTTCTATACCACATAATAAATAATGCCTAATCTTCAAAGAAACCTAGAAGTCGTCTTTTTTTATTGCTAACTGCAGCATTATCAGCGAATATATTCTCAATATGCTGCAGGTAAGCAGCTTTCTTCTAATGTCATTTTCTGGGCGTTCTGAGGAATTTCGGGGATTTTGCTGCCATGTTTTCTATTGAGCAGTTCTGGTTTCCCGCTTCAGCTCCCAGCAGCATGGCTTTTGGAGGACTCACTGCTGTTCTGTTTTGGTTACTGCTTTGGTATCTCTCATGACCTGGTAGCCTACAGAAGCTGAAGTATGTCCTTCTGCCCCGTACGAGCACTGGTGACTCCAGGCAGTAAACTGGAAGTATAAGAAAATTCAAGCGTCTCTAAACTGTTTCTGTTGGTTTTTAACAAAACTGCTCGTACAGAATGCTCTGAGAGAAGGGGAGATATGGTGATAAATACCATTGTTTTAAAATTCTTTCAGACCAGGGGAATGGTTAACAATTTACACCTTTGGCTCAGCTGGAAGTTTTTTTGGCATCCATATGCTCATTTAGGGAAGTTCATAGATATATTTATGGGATATACACTCTGGAGCTTAATCCTAAAGTTTGCATATTTCCTCGCTCTCCCTAGAGCCAAAAACATGCATTTCTCTCCCTGTCTCCATTTTTTGTGAATTCCACTAATATATCTTGGCAGTTCTGTGGTCTTCCCAAATTCTGCTTCAGTGTATATACGTCTCAGTTCTGCTGCTGTTTGTTTGGGGTTTTTTCTCTTTATATGTTGCTGTTCCTTCACGGTTATATTTTTACTGTCTAGCACTTGTTTTATTTCCAAAGTACAAGTTATCAGTAATTGATGCTACTGTTTTTACGGCACTTAAGGAAAAAAAAGAAATACAAAACTTTTCTTTCTGTAAACTGAGGCATGTTTTGGCCATTGCTTGTTCCTCTTCTTGGGGAAATTTTGTGCGAAGACAGGTACTGCCACGTACACCAGCCCAGAATACCTCCTGTTATTTTTCTTTTTAGACATTTTTTTGGGGTTGCAGAATTTTAGTCATAATGCTGCTGTGGAAATGGGACTTCTGGAAGCCCAACTTCCTGAAAGCGTTTGCCTGACTTTTCCATGTACATACAGTTCCTTTAAGGTCTTTTTTATATTCTTGTTTGCATTTAGTAAGTAGCATACAAACTCTTCACTTGAGAATAGTTTTCTGAAAATTAACAAATTTTTTTGCACTTGTACTAAATGTAATTACAGATGCCGAGAGAAGAAGTATGATTACTACAGCCTGCCAAAAACTTCCGTTGTGATAGCTTTCTATAATGAGGCTTGGTCAACACTTCTGCGAACTGTTCATAGTGTTCTTGAGACATCTCCAGATATACTTTTGGAAGAACTTATCCTTGTAGATGATTACAGTGACAAAGGTAGGAAGAATAATTCTAAATAATGTTGATTGTTGGTGGGATTTTCTGGTCAGCCAGTCACAGGAGGAAAAGATAAGCTGCTTGTGTAACATACTGTAAAATTGTACAACATAGGCATCTAATTGGAAAATGGGTTTTCTTCTGGTGTGCCAGGGACAGTTTTGAGTTCTGCACCAAATTTAGTTTAAAATGGGGCAGCACATTTGCTCTGTTGTAACATAAGTGCTTGCACGTATGGATAACTACTGTCTGGTTGGAGCTTTTCAGGTTTTCTAATTTGATTGCTCCAAGGTTTCCCTGGTGTAAGGTATAGTAAGGAGCTACCTGGTTATGTGTTTTCATTTGAATTGTGGGACACAAAACAATGCTGGTATTTTCCACCACATGTGAATTGTGTTAAGAATAAAGCTCTTACACGGAAAAGGCTTTACGTAACGTTTGAGACTCACTTAAAAATTTGGAAATCAATTACGGCGGCAACTATGAAGTGTTCAATTTCTTAAAAGTAACCGTGATTTGTGTCCATCCAAGTTCTGTGCTTTTTCCTTTCTCCTGTCCTAACATGGACAGTATAGCAGAATCGGAGTTCAAGCTGCCGATACCTTTAAGGCACCGCTATAAGTAATACGCTACTGAAGAAAGACCTTTCTGTAGCTTGACGTAAACCAGTCGTTCCGGAGCTATGTTCTTCCTGTCTCTTTTTGTTTGTTACAGAACATTTAAAGGAGACTTTGGAAAACTACGTGGCAGGCTTACGCAAGGTGCGTCTTATCCGCGCAAATAAGCGAGAGGGGCTGGTTCGAGCCCGGCTGCTGGGGGCGTCTGTGGCGAAAGGAGACATCCTGACCTTCCTGGACTGCCACTGCGAGTGCCACGAGGGCTGGCTGGAGCCGCTGCTGGCGAGGTGAGGTTGTGCTCTGGGCCGGTTTCCTCTGCCGCTGCAGCAGGGGGAGAGGCGGCTCGGCACGCTGCTGCCGTGGGAAAAAATGTCCCTTCGCAGGCGTTTACTGAAGGTCAGCGCAGTCTGGTCCCCGAGGCACGGCGAGCGTTCGTCTCCTGGTGGTGGGGTAGCGAATGGATATGTGGAAGATCAGGAGGTGGATTTTTGTGTTCTCCTGAGGACCAGGCTGCTCTTTTTCTTCAGAGAAGGGAAAGTTTTGTCTTCAGGAAGAGGAATCCTCCCCCAGCTTTGACACGGGAAAGGCGGCTACTGCTGTCAACCTGGGTGGTGGATGAGAAGAAGGTCTGGAAAGGTGCTTGCCCTGAGGCATCCCTATCACAGGGCAATGTGCACGTAAGCAGATTGCAATAGACGTCAATAAACTCCATCATCTTAGTCCTGAGCGAATCCATCTTTCCAAACTGTTTCTGATATAAAGCATCGTGGGGTAGGATAGGGAGGAGTTGATGTTATGTTGTTAGCACCAGCTTCTACTTGGACACCATCTGTCCTGGGACGCTGTACTTCACAGCCATGTAGTTTTTAATCTATACCGCAGATCTGTCAGGCAGTTCAGAAAACTTCCATTAATTAAAAAAACAACCAAAAAACAAAGACACCCTCCACCCCACCCCCAAAAAACCAGAATACTAGCTCTCTATTACAACTTAGAATTCTATTTATGATATTCTTGAAGCCTCAGCAACGTGTAGTCAACAGCCATACGTGCGCTTTTCCCACTGTTGGTTCAGTCACTGGTACACCTCACCGCAGCGCCCTGCCACCCCCGCATCACACGCGCGAGGCTGTATTGCTTTTGCCCCTCATGCTGACAGCTTACGTCTTTACCCCCTTGGATGCCATTAGCAGATACTGATAGATAGAGCACCTGAATCAGGCCTCCTAGATATTGTAGATAGAAAACCAGCTCTCTCTTTTAAAAAAAAAAAAAAAAAAAAAATCCTTTCCTCAAGGTCAGTGGTTTGATTTGTGTCCTGTAAAGATTTCCAGCAGGTACTGTAGGATTCAGAATAGGACCAGGAAAAACAGCCCTATGCAACCAGGAGAGAGATTTCCAAAAGCACATGCTGTCTTGAGGCATGCAAGTCTTCCTGATTGCTAGTGGAACTTGTGTTCTCAAACTCCCTATGTCTATTTGAAATTGTATCTGGAATAATATTTTAATTTTTTTTTTCTTAAAAATGTAATATTTAACATCTTTCCACATTTCACACCGAGTGTATTCCAGATTACTGTTCACAGTTAACCCACAGTTTAGATAGCATGAAGAAAGGAAAAGGGGTAAAAATCAAAGAATAAGCATGGTTTTAATGACTGTCCTCTGAAGAAACTACGTAACTGTGAAGACGATGCTGTAATTTTTTTCGTTTCTTTAGCAAACCACTAGATGGCAATCTTGAGGAAGGATTTGGATAATGTTACCTGTACTAAATCACCTGCTGTAAAAAGAGCCCTGGATGTGTCTTGCAAGTTTTGCCCTTCTTGCCGCAGTTGCAGACGTACATCTCTGAGGGCATGCTTGTATGGCATATCTGACTCAAATGGTGGGAGCAATACAACAGTGTTAGCATTTTGCAGTGCAAACATAGTTGTATTTGAAAGCTGCCTGTGCACTGTACCATCTAGTTAATTCTTAACTTACAGAAAAAGTGATGACTTTTCACTTACCTGATTCCTTTCATAACTGAAATCACATGCCAGCTACCTAACTTTTACTCCTTTTCCTTTACAGGAGCAACAAAGCATTTTTACTTTTTATTGGGATTTTTTTTTCCCGTCTGTGTACATGTCATTCTCATTGCTTTGTACATAAGTACATAAGTGAGACAGGAGATAGCAATATTTGTATAAGCCCTTTCGTGTGCTGTACCAAACAGGATTTCAATGGGAGATCATAAAGAAGACGACAGCTGTGTTGCATCTTCCCTCCAGCAACAAGAGACTATTTCATACTTAAGGCACTCTT